ATCCTGACATCTGTTTGAGAGATGTTTTTGAGATATATGTTTCTCAAGCTGTCCTTTAGAATCCTTCTTTGCTTCTTTTCTCTCTTGCATGTTACTGTCTGTTTGGTTCCTGTCATGATCCTTGAGTTGTCATCTCTTTCAAAGAAAGATTGGATCTTGTGGCATTCTCTCAAAGACAGATATGTGTGATGACTAGCTTTGTGAAGCAAGCATGGCTTAGAAATCTGTATTTTCTCAATACTGCACCACTTGAAATCATGGAAGCAATGTCTTTTTTTGTTTTTCCTTGATTTCTTCCTGTATTTGGACGGGTTGGCTACGAATGTTTCAGTAGTGAAAATGACTGTCTAGTCGCTAATAATATTTTTCGAAAGGCTATGTCTTTACAAGATTATGAGGACTCAAAACATAGTACGTCCGTCTCTATTAATGGTGAAGATTTGTTGAAAAGTTGGCAAAGGGATCCTCCTCATGACTGTAGTCAATGCAAACAAGATGACAATGAAGAGATGTGGATTTTGTTTCTTGATAAATACCAATAACCAAAGATGTGTTTCTTCATTTGAAAGTGGAGCGGGCAGCATTGAGCATCGTTATGAGTGAACTTCTTGAAAAACATTTTAATTTTTTACTAATGTTAGAACAAGCTAATCCTGCACAGAGAAAAAGCTTTGCTGTCCCACGCATCACATGGGCAGTTTAGAACAGTGATTACTTTGATATTTAACATTTTGAGAGGAAATATACCTTTAGCAGAAGAAGACAAAATACGACTGTCTCGTCACACAAGAAGTGCATTCAACATTGGCTAGCAAGACAGTAAGTCCTCATCATAGACGTGTTTTGATTATTACACATCAGGTGGTTCTACCTATTTGCATAAGAGCCCATCAAGCCTACCTATCACCTTTACAACATGAGCAAGCCTATGATTCTTTTGACAAGAGAGAATTATCAAAGGTTAATGAGCAACAACCAGGAAGTGCAAAATCCTCAGACAGTGAATCAGACGCAGAATCAGGATCATCAGACAGTGAATCAAGATCCGAAGATTATGAATGATAATAACATTGGTGATGGTGATGATATATCCCCCAACCAGAGTGCAGAAGTCAACACGGACATAATTCTTCGAGTTCTTGACCAACTTATCAGTGGTGTTTCATTGACCAAAGCCATTGGCAAGTTGACGGCTTTGTGGATATTTGTAAAAGACAACATTACAACCGGACAGTTGGGACTAACAGGAAATTTAGAACTTGTTCTACCTAATGGAAAGGTGCTGCATAATTCGAATATTGTTAACTTGATACACTTTGTTATCATGTCTCCTGATGTTAAAAGTCACCAACCAGTGGGTTATAACAATTGTTTTGTAAACTTTTAAGACAGTTACATGTTCCCAAACTTCTTATGAAAAGCTTTATTAGTAAAGGAAAAGACAAAAGACCAACAATGGTTGTAAACAATTTATACATGAAATGAAAAGCATCCAGTGGTGTTCTAGGCACAGCAAAATTATGGAAAATAGAGACATTCTAATGTACATCCTATTTCATACATCTTTAAACTTACTGAATAAAACGTTTCAAACAAATTAGATATGCGATATGTTCGCAATCGCAACTTCAACATCTCCTTTCGAGGTGGAGACACGAAACACTCATTCATATAGTCAACTTTTTCGTAACAGGTTGTATACCTGTCTTCGGAATAAAGTCCAAACTGTGCTTTGAAGTCTCTCGCTTTTTGCAAGACTGTCAAGTGATGTATACTCCCTAGTGCATCCTCAAAATACACATCAATCTGTTGATCACTGTTTATCATAAGACATTGATGTTGAGCTTGGGAGGGGGTGATCGACCTCACAGCATAGCATGCATCCTTGTACAGTTGAACCACCTTTCTATGGAGCATATCAAGATATATCATGTCCATAATGGTCTCAAGACACAACCTTCTTTGTCTCTGAAGGAAGTTACGGTAATTGTTTTGTACACTTGAGTGCACTTCACAATCGTCACAATCACCTTTTTCCTTAACTGAAAAGTTAGATTGCATTTGTTATGCAAGACGTGACGGAATTTCCCTGACAAGTGATCATGATCTAATACTCTATCTGATCCGCCAGGAGCCCCCAACACAACCCACAATGTGATGTATTGGCTATGGTTTTTTTATCTTGATCAGTGAGTTGCATGGGTTTGACAGAATCAAACAGTTGTCATCCTATTCCCTTAAAATACTTTCAATGAAATGTTTTGCTGTGTTTTCACCTACATAAGTTTGAATTGGTTTAGAATATTGTTCATCAGTGCACACCACCTTGTAGGCATAGCTGCAGGGGACATGACAGTTCACACGTGAAGTATAATCTTCTTCAGGGATTAACAAGCTTTCAAAATCAGCTACAATCAAAAACTTGGCTTTTTCAGTTTTGCTTTGTGACCTTAAACTAAATTGATAAACTGCTTCCTCTGGTTTAGGTAAAATAACTCTTTGAGCTTTGTCATATATTTAGTCTTTGGGAGCTTCTAGCCGTTCCTTGGTAGAGTAAGTCCATAAACATTTTCTACAAACAAAGCACATGTTTGTATTACCTTTTCTGTTTCTCACTAATCTATTCAGTTTATTAATGAGACAATAATGTGTGTTAGGTGTCTTGTCTACATCCACGGTTTCTTCATGATCTTCTAACCCTAACACTCCCTCAAAATCATCTGGTTCACTTTCTTGTGACAGTAGCAATAAATCTGTTTGTCTGTTTTCTTCTACATCTAACACATTACTGATGTACATTGGATACAAGGTACCATCTTCAAAACCATACACATTGATGCTCAACTGGTTAAGTTGTTCAAAATGAGGAATTTGTTTGAATGTCATAGGAAAAGTAAACGCAAAACATAAATCATTGTCTTTGTTTTGAATATTTATAATACAGTGTGCATATTTAGCCAGAGCTGTTTAGCCAGAGCTGGTGGCAGTGGAATATAACTACCTCCTTTCAATGGAGTAAACTTCACCACAGTGAGTTTCAAATGGACAATGACAGTGACATTTAATCCTGAATGAACTCCCTCATAATCATCTAGTGTTTGAAGCATTTTGTTCAATCAAATCACTCCCCTCTGTAGCTATCTGCATGCTGCTTCTAAAGTATTATCATCTTCACTTGGTTTTTCCATATTGATGTGCAAACATAAACTCCATTTAATTGATTTTTTCTCACCTATTTCTGATTCAAGAGTTGAAATAACATTACTCTGTTCTCTGACTAGAAATTCTAGTGCATCAGTAGCATTTCCACCTTCAAAATCATACTCTCTGACATCGCCATTTAAGGCTTGACTAGAACATGGTTTTGAAACATAATCAGCTGGAGAAGGTTGATGTGAAGGGGGTGAGGATGTGGGAGGTGAATCGGAGGGTGGTGCAGATACTGTAGTGGTTTTAGCTTTCTTTGCTTTCCCTTTCCTATCATATCATGACCTGTTTTACTTTTGTGCAGTCTTAAAGCTTTAGTGGTAGGAAAGGATTGGTGACATGTATGCTCAGTAGCTCTGTTTGTCTTACAGTTGGTGACATGGTTTTGATACTCTGGTTCATTGTGAACATATTGAAAGCAATGTAAACATTGTCGGCAATAATCAACTTTGTTTTTGCAGGTTTTGACATGACGTTTCAAACTATCTTTTCGGTTGAAAGTCTTTTGACAAAACTGACATTAATACGTTGCATCTTCTCTCTGACATAGTTGCTGATGTTCTTGACAAAATAACTTTTCCCAGGCCCTCTTCCCAGTTTCTGTCAAGTCGTCAAGGATTTCTTTGAATGTATCAAGTGTTATCAAAAGTCACGTAAGTCACATTTCTTGTCTTTATCGCCTTGGGTCTATCTATGATGTTTTTTCAGCTGATCAGGTTAGAAGTTCTTTATGCAAATGTCACATTGGGCAGATTTCTTCCCATGTGATGATTCTTGCTTCTTTAGTGAAGCCATTGTGGTACAGATTACCACAATCTGTGCACTTGTGATTGGGTGGAGCATAAAGGGCATTATGTGCTCTAACACTGTCTTGTGATGACAACCCTTTACTGCATATCTTACACACACAAAAAAGAGCCTTGAGATGCAGAGCCAAGTGCTCCTGTAATCGCATCTTGGTGAGGTAACCTTGATCCCACACGGAACATTTGAATAGGAAGGCCTTGTCATGTTGTCGCTGGTGAAGCTTCCAGCATTCAGTGCTCCTATAATCGCATCTTCGCACATGGAGCAGCATACCACAGGTTATTACTTGACTGACACATTCTTCAGGAGTTACTTGAAAATGTTTAAAGTAGGTTTGGAAGAACTCACTACATTCAGGCCCTTGAAGATAATCACCATCTCTAAAAAGTCTGAAAATTTAATAATATCTATGTCATCACAACTGAACTTGCTTTAGCCACCTGCATGCTCCAGACATATCTGCTCTATTATGTTACGGCATCATAATTCTTGCTTGGGACATGATCCTTATCATACCCTATGATGTTGCTATTGGTAAATCATTGACCTCGAATGTGATGGTATCTATTCAGCCCCTATACATTTACTACTGCGTTTGCGTTCAGATTGATAATTTTTTACTAAAAGACAGTAACAAAGGCCTAAAAAAATTATGTGTTCTGTGAGTGAGTTTAGTTTTATGCTGCACTGAACAATATATTGGTATATAGCGGCGGTTTGGAAATAATCTAGCCTGGACCAGATTATCCAGTGATCAACAACATGAGCATCAATTTACGCAATTGGGATACGATTTAATTAATTGCATTCAAAATTGATTCATTGTTGTTTAACGCCGTATTCAGCAATATTCCAGCTAAATGGCGGCAGTCTGTAAATAATCAAGTCCAACCAGAGAATCCAGTGATTAAAATAATGAGCATCGGTCTACGCAATTGGGATACTTATGACATGTGTCAATCAAGTCAGCGATCCAGACCACCTGATCCCATTAGTCGCCTCTTAAGACAAGCATTGGTTACTGAAGATCAATTCTAACCCAGATCTTCACAGGTCATGTTCTGTGAATATGCATGAATTTCACACAAAAATTAGACCACGGTTATAACTTTATTGGTTGATATTTCTTTCTTCCATTTTGTCAATGTGTTTACCAGCATTCGGTCCAGACTTGGGGTTGAAGAATGTCTCTGGGTAAGTCTATGTATAGCCCTGATTTAAGTAGACGATTTGGATTATAATGTTAAAATCTGATATCGATTTATGCACATGCATTAAAATGTTTATCCTTTTGTTGGTAACTACCCAGATAAATATTGGCACTACAAGATGGGTTATTTATAACCAGATTGATGTTGTTGTTGCCATAGTGTCAGTCAAACTGATTCTGTTTGATCAACAGAGCATTTTTAGAAGCATTTATTTCACCTGTTTTATTTTAGTCCATTATTCAACAGTTTCATTGTTTTAATGTTTGTCTTTGTATGGTTTTAGATATTCATGATACAGACAAACTTAATGGTAGGAGTGAAACGGTATGCCACGGTATTAGTAGAACCGCGGTATTTTGTCTTCGGTTCAGTATGGAAAATTGGTATTTTCTGATTTTGTACCATCATTTCTATCTGGTCATAAAATGACAGTTTTGTTCATTCAAAATAACAAAGATAATGGTTATTTGTTTTCCAGGTTACTAAACAATGTAAGGTTTGGCTCTTGTCAATTTTCTGCATTATGATCATATCTCATATACCGAACAGAAACGGACCGAACCGGAGGCCTTGTACCGCAATACGTACCATACCATTGTAAGAGCGTAGCGTTTCACCCCTACTTAATGGTTGAACAACTTCTTTACTCAGGTGATACAGATTCTTGTATCGTCAAGCAGGTAAGAATCACTTCTTTGATGGGCATTTTAGAAGTTGAGTTGATAAAGAATAATGACAATTATTATGGACATACAACTTCTTTTATTCTGTGGAGGCGACGTTTCGACATAGGTTCTAATCACTTTACTCAATCTCTCATACAAACGTTGTACATCAATCTCATCTATTGTAGAAACAACTCATTCCCTATCTACTGTAGCAACAACTCCTGTATATATTCTCTCAATTTGTTACTCATGTATCACTTGCTCGACAATGACATTAGAACCTATGTCGAAATGTCGCCTCCACAGAATAAAAGAAGTTGTATATCCATAATAATTGTCACTATTCTTCAGGTAAGAATCAGGTAGAAAAATATTAGGTGATAGAGATTCTTGAATCGTTGTCAAGCAGGTATGAATCAGATAGAAACACATGTACAGTTTAGAATTACCAGAAACAACAAGAAGATGATTGAGAAGTACAGTGACAATATGATAACAAAGGATTCAATCCAGAATCCAGTGGGCTGTACAGAGCAGGAGAAGTTGAACATTTTACACAAGCAGTTAGGGTTGACTGATGAGTTCATCGTATGCAGAGGGGATGAAATAACCGTGATCTCGATCATATCACTTATCATCATATTGTTACTGTACTTCTCAATCATTACCTCCTTGACAATGATACAAGAATCTGCATCGAAATCTACATACCTGAATAAAGACGTTTTTGATCCATAAAGTATGTCCATATCTGACTCTCCAACTTCTAAAAAATGCCACTTTAAGAAGTTTGTACATGCATAAGCAATGTCTTTCATATCCTACTGCGCCGACCAATCGAGACAGGCTGTGACTTTTTGTCTCAGATGGTGAACTTTCAAAACTATCACTTCCTATAGTCTGGCATTTTTTCAGATTTATTTAATGAAATATAGGATTTAAGCTGAATGATAGGAATTTATAAATAATTATTCTCATATGTAGTTATTTTTCTGTAACATTCAGTCCACACAGAAAATGTTTTAATTACATGACTGACAATCTATTTGACAAGCCAGCTGGCCAGAATATATATGTGAATTTTATACACTGGTATATATGTATAAATATCCTCATCTATAGGTTTTTTGTCTCTTAGCTTCTGTCCAGAAGAAAACCTATCAATAATACTTGAAATTTATTAGATCAGCTAGTCTGGATGGAATGTATGTGAGTTTATATACACTTTATAGCAACTGGTATATATTATGTAGAAACAGGTAGTGTTTAAGAGTTTTTTGGTTTATCCCTTTTGAGTTTTCCATGGTTCTACAGTAAACTGTGATTATCATGAACTCAAAGTGATCTCTAATTTTAGTTTGTTATATATGTAGTTCATTATATTAACTTTGACTAAAATAGACAGCAAGCGGACAGGACCAAATATTGTTTTGTTATATCGGTCAGTTCTTTTTAAGTGTGTTAGATATAAACATAGTTTACTGTAATATTCATGATGGTACAGCAAATATTAAAATAAAATCATTGAGGTGAGCTACAGAGCTATGATGGAGTTGTTTTGTGCTACAGGACAAATTTGTATAACACACTGTACCGGTGTCCAGTTGACCTTCCAACGTTAATTATGTTGTTTATTTAAAAAAATCAACAAGAAAACAGCCGGTATAGTGGAAAAATTATCAGGGCAAGTGATTTTACATGTGCCACTGTACTGGAGTACACTAGCAATTTTAAAGTTATTTCCACCCCTGGTTTTACTTGAACTTGGTGTTATTTGTGAAAGCGAGATATGTACCATAGCATATATCTATGTCAGGAAGGATAATAGTCCACAGTCTTCTATATATAGTTTGGTCATTGACCACATCACTATCATTGTCATGGTAACCTCTCACTGTCAACAACATCAAAAGAAATGCATTTGCAAATTTCCCATCTTTAAAGGATGACTAGTATGTCAGGAACATAAATTTCCTGGAGTGTTTAAGATAAATTCAATCATGACTTGGAAGGAGCTTGTAGTGCTTATGAAATGTAACAGACAAAACCAACCTTGTGAAAATATTATTTATACAATTAATCGTAGCACCACTACTAGGATATAAAGGTAATATTTACAGTAGCCAGTAGCTGCTGACAACATGATACTTGAGTGTTTCAAGGGCATTGGTCTCGCCCCACCCTGAGCTGAAGCACATTTGGGGTCTTATTATCAGAGTGACTGTTGGTAATATGCATCTATTCACCCAGCAGTGAATGGGTATCCAGTGGGACGAAATGGAAAATGTGACTTTTAACCTTCTAGTGCCTCACAGGTAACCTGGCTTATTTGGAGTGTAATATACAACTGCAAACTGATCCATTGAATCTGAATTTTGTGAGCTTTGAGCAAAATATCCAGCAGGGAAATGTACCATACAAATTATTGTCATTTTTGTTATTATTATTTATTGTTATTCATATCAGTGCAAATAAACTGCTATATTCTTATATAAGGACTGTTGCGTTTGTTATTTATTATCACTTAACTGAACTATATGTGCAACTGAAAGGCATATTATGTGTCCTTTGGTTGTTAACTTTTTTTGCATTTTTATTCTCTTCTCTGAAATTATGAAACTTGCTTGTTGTTTGTTTGATGGTTGTTTAATGTTGCAATCAGCAATATTCCAGCTATATGGCAGCATTCTGTAAATAATTGAATCTCGGGGTAACATCAACATTATGAGCATTGATCAAAGCAATTGAAATAAGATGTGTCAACCAAGTCAGCGAGCATGACCACCAAATCCCGTTAGTCTCCTCTTACAACAAGCATGGGTACCAGGATCTTTGAAGCTTGTGATGCTGCTACTGTCTCTGGTCGTGCACAGACTGCCTCTGTAGTTCAGTGGATAGAGTGCCTGACCTATAGGTCGATGGTTCATTCCATGGAGGCTGTACAGCGTTTTGTTTGCTTAACACTGCATTCAGTAATATTCCAGCTAAATGGCTGTGATTTGAAAATATTCGAGTTTGGATCGGACTGTCCTGTGATCAACAGCATGAGCATCGCTCTACGGAATTGGGATAGGATGACATGTGTCAACCAAGTCAGCGAGCCTGACCACCAGATCCCGTTAGTCGCCTCTTACGACCAGCATGGGTTACTGGAGATCAATTCTAACCCGGATCTTCATGGGTCCAATATTCGATAGGCAGAAATCCAGACAAGTACAAGAAACCCTCCCTCTCTCCCACTTACTCACTCACACACTCAGACAGATCTGGGCATGTGACTATGATAGTGTAAAATTTGAACACCACTGGTACCGTTGTGGACACAGAAGAAACAAACCCCTGCTGGTCTTTAAGTGTGGTTAAATTGGAAAGTTCGTCATATTCTGTGACTGGAATGTCAAGAAACCATCTCTCTTGTCCTTGTAATGGCTGTTACCCACCTTGTTTGAAAGTAACCCACGCCATGGAGACTACCTGTATGGTTTGTCTTGTTAGATTCAGTTGTCGAGAAGTCAGGAATATTTTAGAATGCAGTCACAGCTACATTTAGCAAGTGAGTATGGTTTTATGCCGCTTTTAGCAATATTCCAGCAATATCACGGCGGGGAACACCAGAAGTGAACTTCACACATTGTACCCATGTAGGGAATCGAACCAGGGTCTTCAGCATTAGAGTGAACGTTTTAACCACAAGGCTGGCAACAGGTGAGGTGAAATTGGGTTTTACGTTGTGCTTGAGAATATTTAGCTCATATGACGACGTGCATGCGTATGTATGTGTATGTGCGGCTGCTTGTACTAGCCCAGACTTAAGCTGGTTTTATGGTGCTAGCCCACTGAGATACCATGCCGCAGTGAAGCATGGATACCCCACTCAGACACATTATACTGACTCCGAGCCGACCAGTCCTTGTTGTACCCATTAATGCCGAGCGCCAGACAGGGACCAACAAGTACCATATTTTAACGTCTTTTGGTATGACGCGGTCGGGGATCGAACCCGCGACCTTCCTCTCTCTGGGCGGACGCTCTAACCACTACGCCACGGAGGCGGTCGGCAACAGGTGAAAGCACGTGGTGCATGGTTTTAAGGCAGTGAGACTGTTGTGTTTTTTTAACTGGTCTTCAGCAACCCATGCACTCTCCTACCCGAAGTTCCACTGGCCAGCAGAATACCTCCGCCACAGGATGCCGCCATGTGACAACTCGTCACATCTTACACATTCTATTCCATAAATTGTATATTTTTTCAATTATTAAATTTGTTACCCGTCTACTCGTCTAAATATACATCTATGATAGAATTCTTTTACATTCATTGAAAAAATATATTTAAACGTTAAACACTCTCCATTGGCGAAGCTGTCTTGTTTACATTTGCCCGACAGCTACACGTGCTGTCATGGACGCCCCCGCGGAGAGCTAGCGATACAGACACTTTGATGTATAAATATGTATTGTCACAAACCTCACAGTAGCAGTTGTAGAACATCGGTGTAGTATCACAAAACAATTTATGAAGTGCACCGGGAGGTTTTCATGAGGCCAGCGTTGTTCATTTTTTTCGGAATCAGCGCGTTCACAACCAAGAGTAAAGTCTGGTCACGTGATATGCAAATCAGATCGTGACAGTGCGCACACACTGCGCCGGAGTGGGCATCCCGTGCTTGTAACAAGCAAATGGCTTGTCAACGTGCACTGTACCGTATATTGATGTTCCTGATGTCGGTCATAAGCTTGTTGTATATGTAGACTCGGGGTATTCTAAAAAATCCGTATCTGCTGGAATATTGCGGAATGGGCGCCAGCAAACAAACGAACAAATCACCTATAACAAATAAGCGAGTGAATTGTTTTAACCCACCTTACCCGTAAATCGTGATTTGGGAGTGAAGTGTGTGAGTGAGTTTAGTTTTATTCCGCTTTTAGCAATATTCCAGCAACATCACGGCGGGGGACACCAGAAACGGGCTTCACACATTGTACCCATGTGGGGAATTAAACACGGGTCTTCGGCGCGACGAGTGAACGCATTAACCACTGCCCCTGTGAGTGTAGCCCGATGAGCTTGATTCGACTCAGTCTTTGCTCAAGTAGCCGTAAGATCCGGTTTAGAATTGGTTTCAGCAAATATGTTTGTTGTTAGAGGCGACTAACGGGATCATGTGTCAGGCTTGCTGACTTGGTTTATTTGTCATGGTATCCCATTTGCGTAAATCGATGCTCTTGCTGTTGATCACAGGATTGTCTGCTCCAGACTCGATTTTTCACATGTATAGCTGAAATATATCACATGTGCGTAGATTGATGCTTATGATGTCAATCACTGGATTGTCCGGTCTAGATTCGATTATTTACAGACTGCCTCCATGTAGCTGGAATTGGGCGTTAAACATTAATCAAACAAATCTTTCCTCAAATGGTTCTATCATCAAAGGACCGCCTCCGTGGTGTAGTGGTTAGAGCGTCCGCCCGGAGAGCGGAAGGTCGCGGGTTCGATCCCCGAGGCGTCATACCAAAAGACGTTAAAATATGGTACTTGTTGGTCCCTGCCTGGTGCTCGGCATTAATGGGTACAAGGACTGGTCGGCTCGGAGTCACTATAATGTGTCCGAGTGGGGTATTCCTGCTTCACTGCGGCATGGTATCTCAGTGGGCTAGCACTATAAAACCAGCTTCAGTCTGGGCTAGTACAAGCAGCCACACCTACACATACACACGCATGCACGTCGTCATATGGGCGAATTATTCTCCAGCTCGACGTTAAACCCAATTTCACCTCACCTCTATCATCAAAGACACTGATAACTATTGGAAGAAGATTCGTTAATATGATGTGGGGTTTATTTAACAATTCAGTCTTAGAACAAGCATATGCATCACTCTCACCCAGGATGCACGCCACCGTGTGCAGATCCAGATGCAGCTCGAGTGGCAGTGATGGGGATGATGATGATGATAATGATGATGATGGATATAAGATGAGGGATTAAACTGGTCTGAAAAACTATTGCCTCAGATAATACAACAAAAACGAAACTTGTCCACAAAACACAACAAAAATATATATATTATGGTCCCGCATTTCACACAGCTCTAATATTTGTCTTCAAACAGAAATAAATGTATGTGTTAAGGCAGTGACAGAATATCTGTTTCTGTCTCTCACACCAATCCTGATCCTCCAAGAATGCTCGGTCCCTAAGACGGACTGGTGGTGAATCTGTGAATGACGTCTAAGTGAGCGAGTTCAGTTTTACGCCGCTTTTAGCAATATTCCAGCAATATCACGGCGGAATGACGTCAGAGCAGGGTGGCCTCAGACATGTAGGCCATACGGTATCCCAGTGTTTTCCCTGCAACAGAAAAAAATAACATTGTCTTTAAAAACAGCATAAATGTAGAATGTCATAAACTAAGAGGAGTCGGTGAGGTAGCCTAATGGTTAAAGCGTCCGCTCGTCACGCTGAAGACCCGGGTTCTATTCCCCACATGGGTACAATGTGTGAAGCCTATTTCTGGTGTCCCCCGCCGTGATATTGCTGGAATATTGCTAAAGCGGCGTAAAGCCACACTCACTCACTCATAAACTAAGAAGCTGAAATTGGATATGGCAAAGTGCTTTATGCATTAGAACATCTACAGGGATCTATTGGAAATCTTCGTCATTTTGAAAAGATATAATGGCCGTTTTTTAACTCCGCACTCAACAATATTCCAGCTATATGGCGATTGTCTGTAAAAATCGAGTCTGGATCAGACAATTCAGTAATCAAGATCATGAGCATCCACTTACGCATTTGCTTAAGGTGTACAAAACATGTAGCACAGTCACAGCTACTCTCAGTTACTTTAGCAACTCTCCATTCCTTATGGGGGCGGTAGGGTAGCCTAGTGGTTAAAGCGTTCGCTCGTCATGCCTAAGACCCGGGTTCGATTCCCCACGTGGGTACAATGTGTTAAGCCCATTTCTGGTGTCCCCCGCCGTGATATTGCTGGAATATTGCTAAAAGCGGCGTAAAACTAAACTCACTCACTCACTCACTCACTCCATTCCTTATGACCCGGGTTAGAATTGATCTTCAGTAACCCATGCTTGTCGTAAGAGGCGACTAACAGGATCGGTTGGTTGACACATGTCATCCTATCCCAATTGCGTAGATCGATGCTCATGCTGTTGATCACTGGATTGTCTGGTCCAGACTTCATTATGTACAGACCGCCGCCATATAGCTGGAATATTGCTGGAGTGAGGCGTAAAACTAAACTCACTCACTTCATTCCTTATAAATATTAAACTGCTAACACAATAGAACCACGTCACAAATATAATTTCATTGCAGCGCACTATATCTCCGACTTGTCACACATCAAGCGTTTTAATAGATTTACATAGCTATATGTTATTTGATAATAACTTATTCCACGTGGAGAAGAAAAATGAGATTTTCATGGAAGTCAAGATGGCGATCCCATGAAAACACCACTGTGTGTTTTG